TTGGTGTAATATTTGTTTGGCCTAACATGCAGCACACTTTCTTATTGATCCTGCGTAAAATTTATTTTTATTCTTCCCTTATTTCGGTTATATATTATATTTATTAACTAATCATCAAGGCTAGTATAATCTATTCAGACATAAATAGATGTATTCGACTAAAGCAACCGAATTCTCAAAAGATTAATAAAATCTTCATTATCTCAGTTTTTCCTTACGTCGCGTTAATCCCAGTTTTCTTTATGCTTTAGGTACCAGTTTCCATAGTTATACGAAGAAAAAACAAGGATGGAATTTTCTTTTATTAGGGATATAGGAAATATAGATCCCTCATAGATTCCGTTTGGAATATAATACAAAAATATGAAGGGTAGTGGGTAGAGTGGGATTCGGACTTAGTGGTTGAGAGTTCAATACCTTAACCCATGGAATTATGGTCTAATGAAAATAAATTTGCAACATAACATAAACATTCTGAACACACATGTAACTTACAGTTTTTCTTTCTCCTTTTGATAAGCAACCAAATCTGGTTTAATCTGTTTAGTCATTTTAAGATATTTACGATGTGATGCATCAGCATATGTTGAAAATCCTTCATCTGTATTACATTTTTTTCTTCGTCTTGTTTCAAGACGATCGGCTATCTCTGCACTAACATTTAATGCACGCATTCGATCTGGATCAATTTTTTGTTGATTACATTCCAATCTAAATATTTCATCTTCTTCCTCCCATTGTAATCGTTTTTGTCGTACTTCCCAGTTTGATGGAAGTTTTGATCGCTTATCCTCTTCAACAACTTGAATATGATTAGATTTTCGAGACTCATTCTAAATGAAAAAGGTAAGAAACTCTTAAATTTGTTTTACTTTTATAAACAATCACTGTAATCAATATTACAAGTTATTTCGCCAGTATAATATAATTTGCAAACATAGTATCATGATTATTCGCAAAACGTTTTTTCTCAGGAGCGCGAATACTTGAAATATGTAGTGACGAAGCGAATACTGAGTGTTGTATCCTTCGGAATTGTTTTACAGACTTATCATTTACACGTTTATTATATATATTAGATAGTTGGATTATTGTATAACTCTATCCTCCTTATTTTGAGATTCTATTGGACCTACTAACTATTTTTGTACGATATATTGTTCCTTGAATATTGTTAATTAGTTATGAACCGTTTGATCCAATCTCAGCCACTTGCAGAACAATTGTATAAAAAATATTATTTATTATTGGGTACGCCGTAGTCCTACAATTCGCATATATATAAACTAATGTGCTTAAGATAGATATGCTGGGTGCTTTAAATATA